ACAAACTATTAAAACAAATGTGCTAAAACAGTTTCATTGTAAAGATAACTATAAAAGTGTGAAATGTCCCTTTTTTCATTTTTTCATCAAATATGATCAAAGGAAATAAAAGTGCCTGTAGTCTAAGAATCACCCGTATGGCATTGCCATTTATGTTTGTGCTCATTTCCAGCAAAATATCAAAACCTAAAGTCCTCTAGCTGCAGCACCCACCCCTGTAGCGCGTCCCCACCAACTTTAATAACAGAGTTGCAGCTAAATATTTCATTTTAGTCTCATAAGTTAAAACATCCTGCAATATTTAGCTATTTTGTCCGTGTATGCTTTCCTGAAATACATCAATTCCATTCAATACCCCATGAAAAGTAATTAAAAACATTTACAGTTATGAATTTTTTTTAATGGTCGGGCTAAGAACAGGCAGTGATTTGGTGGAAAAATAATGATAAATGTGAAGGATGTGGAAAAAAAGAAAATGTAGAACATGCACTGATGAACTTCAAAACATATGAACATGAAAGGGAGAAATTGAGAAGGATGGAAGGAAGGACAGGCAAAGAATGGAGTCTTAAAGGAATATTGTGAAATGAATATAAAGGATATTTACAGAAGGGAAGAATTATTTATTTATCTACAGAATACAAAATTAAAAAAATTGAAAATACCGGTACTTTACATCAAATAGAAATTTGATGTAATGTTGCTACACACTCATGTACAGTAGGTGGCGGTATGCACCTTAAAGTTCCTTGCGATCCGCCATAATAGAAAAGAAGAATTATTTCATTAAATTCTTTTAAATTTTAAAGTTTATTGAACAATAATTTAACACAAAAAAAACAGTTAAGCAGCTCGTTATATTTTAGCCCTCTCTCATCAGAAATGTTTCACAAAAGGCTATTAAAACCCCAAAGTTGTAAAAAAAAAAAAAAAAAAAAACCTTCAAGAAGAAGAAGAACAGGAAGTGACTTCAACTGGGAAACTACACTACCCAGAAACCCCTACTCTAACGTGATTGGCTCGCTGGAGAATGTGACGTTTGACGCGTTTCTGTAGCGCGGGAATCTCCTGCGAGTTTTGTTTCTGGTTTAGTGCCGGTTTTAACCGGTTTAATTAATACTTTATTCCGTTAATTGAATTATATTTAACTCATTGGGATTTCCGCTGCACCTTTTTGCGTTTTAAGCTAATGTTTAACGTTAACGGTCGATTGAGTTACGCCGTGTTCTAACTTGTGGCCGCTTCTCTTCTAAGAGGGATGCGTTTCTCCTAGCTAAGCTAACCCATGGTTCTCGTTGGACCTTTTTGTATTTTCCACATCGTTTGAGTTTCCTGTTTACAAGCGGGGGTGAACGGAGAGGAATGGCGGGGCTGTTAGACCAACCAGGATACGATGAGGAGTCTCTGCGGAGAGTGTCAGAGCAGCTGCCCTGCAGAGAGCTCCAGGCTGGGATGCTGCTGTCACTCATGGGACAGGTAGGAGCTTTAGCCCGGCCGGTGTCACCTCTATGGAGGACCAACTCTGCCATATTTAAAAATAAATACAGAAATAAATAAATGCTCAATAAATATATAAGCATACAATTAATTGCCAACAAAAATACAGTCAACAAATAAATGTAAGTAAAAATTAAATTATACAGTGAGACATAACT